GAGAACTGGCTAAAGGCTGCCCTGAGGATTATAGAATAAAATACTGTTAAATTTTGACTCACTACTCTGCATTGCAGTAGGTCTCTCCTATACAAATACACGTGTATTTCTCTGTTCATTCAATATTTGATTAAATATGTACAGATACTCTTAGAAGCTCTTCATTTTTTACCCCAACCCAAACCAGCCTTCGTGGCTTGTGCTGCTTTGCTCAGCTAAACTGTTCAGACATCAACTCCAGCAGCAGCTTCTGGAGGAAACTGACCAAGCTGTCACAACCTGTCCTGCCCAAAAAAAGCCTTGTCAGGCCAAATGTATATACCCTATGTTTTCCAGTGGCTTGTCTGCTGCTCACACTTGCATTTTCTCCACTGCATCCATCTCTGACCAAAAAGTATTTCACCCACAGCAAAAGTCAGGAAAGTCTCTGGCCATGTTGGCACAGACTCAAAAGAAAATGTATTTACATCAAATACAGAACAAGAGAAAAGATGTTTGTGGGAGGATACTGACCACAAGAGCCTTCTATGAGCCTGCCTTTCCACCATTTTTGACATGCTTCTTCAAGAAAATCCCTCACACGGGGTCCTGATTCTGCGCTGGAGTTCCCAGAACTCCAGAGAGTAAAGCATGGCAACAGCTCACTGAGAGTTAATCCATCCATTGGTGGTGGAGATAAAGTTGGAAGCTTCACAACCTCTTCCTGAGTTAATGCACATGTGTGGAAGATGCCTTTTGTTCCTTTTTTTGGGGGGGGATTTCTAACAAATAACACACAAGCCTTCAGAGATACAAAAGAGGATTAAAATACTAACTGAATATTGGTAATGGAGAAAAGCGTGGGTGGCAGACTTGGAGCAGTCAGGCCTGCCAAAACTGTGAGGCAGCTATTCACTTTTCCACGTGCATTTAATCTACCACAGCCACAGACTGATCTTGAGAGAGGGCTGTGAGAATCAAGAGTACATTTGGCTTGGCCTCAGACAGCATCTCACCAAATGTATTGCTGAGGACCACGGTGGCAGCCATGCAAAGAAAGGAGTTCCAGACAGCCTTTAAGGGGAGGCTGGGACTGATTCACAAGAATTGTCTAGTCTGTCTTTCGTGAGGTTTGCATACTTAGTCTTCAAATGGGTCCTACAGCAGTGGTGTTTGGAACCCTTATTTCCCTCACAGTATAGACTGATGCTCCACAATTCAAGCTTGTTGAGGAAAAAAAAAGTAAAATTCAGGCATATCAAATGATGTTCAATAAAGGATTTCAAGCGAAGAAAGGAAAGTTCTGCATAACCTAGTCAAGAGACCAGACTTGCGATATGATTCTGGTGCCATGCAGGGACCGCTGAGGTGAGGAAGTGGGGAACTGACAGGGTAAGAAGGAATTAAGAGCTGAAACATCAAAGAGAAGCTCTTTGAAGTTCAGGCTACACAACCCTTCCTGCATGTTTGGGTCTGATGAATTCTTGTAGAGACATCGATCTCCAGTTTGTAACACCTCGCAGAAGGTGGTGGCCTTGTGGGATCAGTAGGCTGGGGTGAATCTCCTCAACAGCATGCACACCTGGAATCTGGGGATCTCCTGTGTACGACTGAATTTGGTTCTAATGTAAAACATCTCTTATGACTTTATCCTAAAATTGTATTTTTTTTTTTTTAGTTCAAAGGGATAAAGGCCATAGTGGTGGAATGATATAAAAATAGTTTACATGTATCTACATCAATAATTGTGAAGAAATACATGTGACAATAAAGGAATGGCATACAACCTAGTGACACAAAGGCATACAAAAAGGGGCAGGAACATTTTTCTGCCTTTATCCTACCATAATGACAAGTGTAAAGAAACTGAGAAATAACTAATAGAGGAGCTCTACAGCAAAGTAAGCACACACTGCAGAAAAGAAAGAAGAAAGAAAAAGACTTTCTATGAATTCATGCCAAATCCAAAACATAAACAAACTGTACAGATACAGAAGTGACTGCATCAAATTATAATCAAACTGCACAGGTGGTCTTGGCACTGTGAGTTATCTGTCTCTGGTATCTTGCATCAGAAAAAAAGGTGAGCAAGGCTCTTCAAGGAGTTTGGAAAACTTCAAAAAATTGGACTTGTCCCTGTCTTTCCATAGCTCTCAGTACATACACAACTTGACTCTCTGTATGTTTGCACCTAATTGGGTTAAAACTCTTCATTTGTTTGTGCTTAAAATTGTGTTCTTCTGGAGACCGGTGCAAGGACTACCATCCAAGCATGTAATACTGGAGCAGTCTCAGGCAAAGCTCGAGTTGGGTGATGCTGTTTCATACGGTGTGGAAAAAAAGCACAACTACAAGAACACAGGGAGCTGTAGATTACAAACTGATTTATCATCCCTTGAAGTCAACACAGTTCTTGGGGCCAACCACAATATTTCTTTCCAACTTCCTTTGCTAGGCTTGCTAACCCTCAGAGACACCCGTGTACAACTTGTGATCCTTAGGAAGAAGTCTGGGTTTTAGGTTTTAAAAAAGAAAGATGTTTGCCATTATTTGTAGTCTTAAAATTGAAATATACAGTCTGCATACTTTACACATTCTCAGAAAGTTCTCTAAGAACAACAGAATTGTGGGAAAAATAAATAAAAAGAAACACAGAAGCTAGAATGTCCTATGCACACAGAACTGTTCAATTTTCAAAAATTTGCATTTATGAAACAGAAGGCATATTTCATGGATACCATTAGACTCTCTCTTTTCCTAGCTTTTTGCTTTTTACTTATGTGTAAGTCAGAATGTATTCCCAATTAACCTAAATTCTGCAGGAATGTTTCTAAAGTAGTGCTTTCCAGGAACTGAGAAAAAAGGGAATTTTGATTGTTCTCTGCTTTATAACAAGTCAGAGGGGGGTTATATCTGCAGTGCCTTCAGCATCTGCCTGCAGTTACACGTACTGTGCTTGAAATCCTGATTTGGAATAATCTGACATTTCTTCATACAGTGCTAGCTCTGATCATCCCTATCCTTGTCTACAAGTTGCAGTGTATGAAGCACATTCATGTTTAACCTTCTCAAACTCTCCTGCTAACTCAGGGGTACTTGAAGGCATCGGTCTCTGTAGAAATGTATTGGTAAGCTCACTTGTGCACTACTACCTGCATTCTGCACCATGCAGTGAGTACAGCAACAGAAGTTGGCTTTTCTACTCTCAGGTGGATGAATCAGTAAGAAAATGTTACCTTAGATACTGTAAACAGTTTGTCCACAGTTTTTTTCACTGAAAAATAAAATCAAAATAAAACACAATGGCATAGCGGTGTTTAAGCACATGATAAATACTGCTCAGAAGCATTTGTTGAATCATCTTTGAGTTGAAAAGTGCTCCAAAATTTATCACCTTTTCAGACCAGTCAACCATCATATGAGTGTCTGCTGGAGTATCTGTTGTCACGCAAATCAGGTTTTCCTGTTGATAGTTTACCTGTATGAAGCTTTCCCATTTTGCTTGTCCTTTCTCATTGTTTTCCAGTGTCTTTTGTGATCATGAAGTGCTTACAAACACATCAAGAATCGGGATGATCCCCACATACATGTGTTAAAATCAGACTGAAGTCGTAATAGTGATAACCTTCTTTTACACTTTTTCAGTGGAGAATGCCTTTTATAAATGGCTGAACTGCCTCAATATGCAGTCTGCATTACTGCTTGGAATGATCGTGTTTCTAGCTCAACCTTAATGTAAACTTATCTGCAGCAATATGTTGGATCATACTCAGGTATCCCTTAGAATATTGCTTGGGATTTTTCTCCTCTTTAGCATTCAATTCCTTGGCATTCAACCAGGGAGGTCTGTGAGAGACTACATCTGTGGTCCTAAGAAATCTGTTTCCTAAGTTAATGTCAATTAATTTTGGCCATACAACTCATGTGGCTTTACTGATCTTACTGATTTATTATAGTGCCAAGAGGTAATTTATCTTGTTTACTTAGTGAGCTCCAGTCACGTACTTCTTTTAATAACACTTAGTTCTTACAAAATACCTACGTCTTTGAAGGTCTATTAAATAATAAAATGGTATAGTTGGTTTGATTATTTCAGTGTTATGCATCAATCCTTGTGATGTCACGACAGCATTCAATTTTGATGGCACAAGATCACAGCTTTGACTAATCTTCTTACTGGTTGCATTCAATATTATGGCAATCTATAGGTACTACTAAAACAGACAGTAAATCCTAACAATCCTTGAACACTCTGAAGTATAATTTAATGTTATTAAAGATGAGAAAACAGGCACTGAATGTGGAAATGGAAGTTTAAAATGTCTGATAATTAGGCTTTTGATAACCTGCAAACAGCAAGAGACGCTTGTTTTGCTTTTCAGAAGCAGTATGTCTGATCCTCAATTAATGCTACATAAATGTTGCTTAACTTGGGAACAGGCCATAGCTAAACATAAACAGAGAAATAATTCTCACTCTCATTAATTCCCACTCATCTCATAAAACTCTTTTTTTTTTCTTTATGTGCACCTCACACTTAACTGCCACAAATTACAACTGAAGTCACTTGAAGTCACTGTGAAATTAAGAACTGTTCTGGCTTCTTCACAGTATCATAACCCATGCCTGGTTGTAAGAACACAAGGAGCATGGCCATTAGTACATACTTCCTCAGTCTTAAAATACCAGGAGATCTTGTTCTATTATAATAGCAGCTCTCTTCCATTATGAAATATTAGTACTATTTGAAAAAAAAATAAAGAAACCAAACAAAAAATATCTCATAAATACAATTAAAATGCACAGTAATATTTTGGAAAGTGAACCAATAGAGATTTCAAGATAATGCTTGGCTTTCAGTGAAATATTCCCATCCTAACAGACTACCTTAATGCTCCTCCCTTAGACCAAGTTAATACTGCCTCAGGGTCTTCTGCTTTGAAGCTCAGAGCTGCTCTTCAACCCTATAATACAACCACCTTCAACCTGTATATAAAATAAAACTTGAACTATTTAAATACCATTTGTGGTACAGCACCAAGGAGCCATTATGAAGACTCAGTTTAGTAGACTTTCTGAGTATTTCTTCAGTCAGAAAAGCCTGGGGTGGCAAGAAACTGCAAAGAAAATGACATGAAAAACCTTGAGGTTCTATTCTAAGAATCCTGTTTGGGGCAAATTCTTTTAATATAAGGAGATCAATGAGGAGTTTAGCTCACATAGTCTACCTGTTCTTGTGGACTGCAAATGTGTCAAATCTGCTGGCTGGCGGCCCTTGTGTAATCCTCACTTAGCCATAAATGCTGATGTGGCAGAAAAAGAGATGTTATTAAATCAATTAAGTTTCACCAAAAAAAGTTACTAAACTGCACAATATGGCATTTTTTCCCTCTTTAACTTTCTGCTGTGCTTCTTCTCTATTCTACTCCTTTGTGTTCTTCATGACAAGGGATAAAGCTTTGCTGAAATAAATAGTGGAAAGTTTGAAAAAATTGAGCTCAAAACCTTGAACACAGAGATTCTAGTTGCTGGCATTCATATGAGCATTAGAATTCCAAAATGCACTCTGTGAGACTAAGCTTTCAGGTGTTTTTAGCCCAGACTATTTATAAATTAGACTCTCAAGATATTTCTCAAACACAAATGGTAAATTGCATATTCATATGTTCAGAAACCTTTGTGCACCACCATAAAATCATTATGCAGTCCATGAAATCCATTGAAAATGTTTTAAGTTCCCGGAAGTTTTGATCTGATGAATAAAGAAATGTGCAGTTTGTTTAATCTCTGCACTGACACTGAATATTAAAGTGTCTCAAGAATGATGCATATATTATAAATGTTAAACAAAAGTTCCCATCAACATCAAATAATTGGACAAAATAGAGATTCTGTTCTCTACTGTGTTGATGAGAAGTGCTACATATTTTCACCCGTTCACAATGCAACACGTCTCATTCTCCTTAAGAATATATCTTAAGAATGGGGAAAAAAATGGAGGGTAATCAGGAGCTGAAGCTTACTCGCTAGCTTTACTTACTTTCTGTCTTCTTGCTAAATCTTACAGAACAAGTTGCAGGCATCTTCGGTTATTTTTTATGTCTGATTACTTATTCAGCTTTTTCATTTTGTTTTTCTAAATTTTCTAAGTGACATCTGCATTCTCTATCTTAAAAAGTGCTAAATTAAGAGAAGAGAGTTCATCTGCAGTCATTAATAATTTTTCCTCAGAGAGGGTCCAAAAGGCGACAAACTTAGTGACCAGCAGGATATAATGAAAACTGAGGCTCTGGATAGAGATTTCTCAAGCAGTGGCACACTCCTCCTTTGCACAAAGGACTCTTTTTGTGAAGCAGAATTGCTTTGTGAGAGTGAGGCCATGCTTAACGCCACAAATTGAAAAATAATCATCATAATGAAGTCTCAGAATCAGCTCCATTTCTTGGCAAGTTCAATCACCTTTGGAATTACACAGTCACACTTACCTCAAGAAGTGCGAGAAGACTTCGGGCACCATCTTTTTCCTTTCCTTCTTTCCAAAAGGGAAGCCAAAATAAAATACAACTCTTTATGCCACATGAAGGATTTATCTTTGGCAATTTGAATGACCTGATCAATCTGTCACGTGGAGAGACAAAAGAGAGCCACTTACAAACTGATCTAGCTGAAGTAAAAGCAAAGGATTAAGCTAAGAGCATCCCGCAGCGATGCTCACTAACTTACATATGAGCTTAGTTGGTTTAAGAAGTATTTTGACCTGAGCAACATGTTTGCTCTTGTGGTGGTGCGATAAGCATATAGGAAGAGAAAAAGAGTAAATTTAACACGAAAGAATAGAAAGGGAGGAATCTATTTTCTAGCTGTTAATATAGCTTAGGGAATAAGTATCAGTATAGTGGGGAAATAAAGTGCAGCACTACATATCAGAAAGTCATGTTACAACCTGGTCAGCAGTATTAGCAGAGTTGAAAGAAACTTTAAAAAGAAAAGATTTTCAAACAAAAGCAGAAAATCTGATAGCACCCAAATTAAGTATTTTTTTTTTAAGGTGAAATTCAGAACACCAAAAATTTGTTCTTCACTACTCCCTTAGCACCATATTCCTAATCTTACAGATGATACTGCTGCCTTTTTCAGGCTTGACCATCTTCTGTTAAGTGATGTACCCAAGTTCACAGTTAGTGGAAGCACTTCATGTTCTCATCAGCAGGCCATCAGGCTGTGCTTTTAAAAGATAACTGAAGAGAGCTTCTGAACACAAAGCTCTTCTAAGCAATGCGAGAACTCCTATTTAATCTAAAAGAAAATAAGAGCAACTACCCACACTCCTTGTACTGGTCTCAAAGATACGTATCTACACTAATAGCCTGAAAATTTAGCTCACATTACTACTGCATTATCTGTAAAAGAACACCAATACTAGTTGGAACATTGATACAAATTCTAAGAAAGAAGAGTAGCTTGTGTTTATTATAACTCACAGCAGATTACACATACCCCTTTCTTGCTATCCCTGACAGTGTCCAGTCCCATAAACTGTCCAAGCCCCATTTCTGCAAGAAATTAAATAAATTTGAAGTATTAGTTTGATGAGAGTTTTTGAAAAAGAAGCAATTAACAGAAGATTTAAGATTAGTTTTCTCAGAAGCATCAACACCATGTTCTGCAGCCCACCCCATTAACACAGGTGGATCCTACAGAAGTTGCCTTCTGTATTCCTTAAACAACCATTAAGGTCATTTACTAACCAGGTATGCTTATGAGCTAAGTATAACAGGAAAAAAAAGCAATATAAAACGTCCAGTAAATCCGTGAAGTACTGTGGAAAGACAAGAGAAGCAAGAGGAATCAAAGTTTCAATATTACTAATGCTAGATAGCTGCGTATAGAACAAATATTTCTCTCCTGATTACAGCTCAGGCCAAACTCCATAACAAAGAACAAAAAATGGGGTGTGCTTTTACAGTAGCTGATGTCTGGTATTCGCTGACACCACCGTAAGAAGCGACTCCAAAGCATTCTTCACAGCAGCTCGTCTGACATTGATGCACCTCCACTCCCTCCCAATCCAGTGAGCATGCAACTGTGTTCCAGGATGCAATTTATTTAAAAACATTTATTTTAGGCAAAATTAAACAGACATTTGAATTTACATAGAAATACAGTTTCCAATTGGATCACGCAACCTTTTCATTAAAAATGTCGTGCTGTGTTCAGTATTTTTATATGGATTGACCAGTTATGCAATATGTAATCATGCCATTTGCAGTCAACTATCATAAAAATCAGTAACGAAAAACAGTTCTTAAAATGTGCAAATATTATTTATTTTGGTGTTATGATCGGTAATAAATGACCACTAAATATACGCTTATTATGTAAAGCTTTTTAAAGTACAATAAAAATACAAATTCTATTTGTTAAAAAAAGGCCATTACTATGGCTACTAAACATCCTCATTATACAAATTCCAAAATACTATATGACAAACAAAATTATAAAGACTTTTCTTTATGAAACATACTATTCTATTTGTTAGTGATTTTATAGATAGATTTTTTTAATATATATGATACTCTATATGAATATTCAATGAAGAATTATAGAGAGGAAGACTAATGCAATGCAGAACATTGGCATCCCAATTCAGCAGGGTATATGAGCATGAGTCAAACTCAGCAAAGGAATAACATCATCTCAGCAGACTTTTGAAGGACTTTGTTGAAGGGGGTGTAAAAATATACATATTTTAATGAAATTGCAAAAATACATTTTTGTGTAAACTGTAAACCGTAAGTGTCACAGAAAGGCCTCTCTGGAAAACAAGAAAAAATATCCAAAATGCTCTTAGTTTATTTTTTATTTTTATCGACATCTTTCTGTTGTAAGGGGAGAATAACAGAATTGTTAAGAGGATTGAATTGAACAAACGTGGGGTTTGGGCCTTGAAAGAGTAATGATAATCCTTTTCTGAGATAAGCTCCAGATATTATTTTATTGCTTGTGCTGAAGGTTAGTGAAGAGTATGCATAGAAAGGTCAGCGTTAAACTCATTAGCAGCTGAAAGTTTTGGTGTGCAGTTGCTTGTGTAACATGAGAAACGAGTGAGTATGAAGGACTTACTAACATACCGAAATCTTGCAGCAAGCTTCAAACTTATATTAAGACACAGAACATCAAAGAAGACTATGAAAACAATGCTCAACAGCCCAACTGAACACTCCAGTGCTGAAAGTAGCTCACAGAATTAACCTCTGCAAAGAGTGCCTGCTTGTGCACAACATCACATAAATCCGTCAGTAGAAGCAAAATTCTAGTCTTACGTTCAAATTTTCATTATGAATTTTGTTTTGTAATGAATTCCAAATGGTACACTTCACTGTTCAGCTATAAAATAAAACAGAGAGTAGGTACTTCTTCATTTCTGCAATTTAGCAGCTCTCCTATGCTATTAAATGCTAACTAACACACTATTTGTAAGCTTCTAAAACATGATTTAATGACCTAAAAATCTTCCGGATTTCATAAGCGAATAACAGATATACAGTGTAATAACTGTACACAGTAATAGAAATTAATTACAGAGCATACCAACTTTTTAAGCATATACTAATGGTTAATATTTTCTGCTTTTTCATCGCAACTGCAATTAATCATTTCACAGATGGAACTTTAAATAATGGCTTAAAAGCTTATTTTCAAAATACTGGCAAGTAAAGCATTACGTGAAAATCATGCTTGCATCTCTGCAGAGAGGTACGTGTGAGCTTTCTGAAGAACGCTTCCAGGCAAATAGTAGTAAAGAGTAGTAAACTTGGGCCAAAGTGCGAGGGAAAGAAACAACAGTGTAATTTAATTCATATTTCATAAACAAGTACAACTTTATACATTTGTACAGGGAAAGACTGGAACTAAGTCTTTTTTTTTTTTTTTTTTCCAAAAAAAAACCCCAAACGGGTTTAAATTTTTAAAAAAAAAAGCATATTTTGGCACATGGATAATATTTGTGAATACATGTTCAGAATTAAAAAATACTGTGTAAGAATTTCACATTTAGTTTCTTGGCATCAGCATCTGCTGTCTAGTGGGTCAAGACAAAATACTGTGCCTTCAAGAGTTAATCCCATTTTGAACCCCTCCTGCAATGAAACAAAACACTGTTAATCAAAGAGAAAGTAATTCCTCGAGGATCATTTTCACTATAAATATCTAAATTCCAGCTTATTTCTAGCTCAACTTCGAGGTACATAGCTAAGACTGTTCCAGAGGATGGTTCACAGGATAATTCACATTTACACTATTTGGTCAGTCAGTTTTCTTAACTTTCTCTCAGCCATGAATTTATAAAAGGACTTCACTCTAAGAAACACTGTGTGTAGATTAAGTAGTATTAGAATAAAAATATTGACTATTTGCATACATAAATTGATAGAAAAACAGGTTTCACTTGAATCATATTGAATGTGAACAAAATTCAACACAATTTATAAGTAGGAAAGATCAGATTGCTGTGTGAGAAAAAGAAGTTTATTATATTCACACTTCAAAGAGATGCAAGTTGTGGACGTTGCTGTTAATACCAGATGTCTCGTACATTCAGCAATCCCTTTTATTAGAAGTAGTCTAATAATAAATGTAGTGGTACCCAACAAAATCTCAGGTTTGTTCTGAGTCATTCACTGCTGGTGGTGAGCATAACACTGAGAGATGTTATGCTTTACACTCTATGGTTATCTGTGCTTCACCACAAGGCAAATAGAATAATACCTGTTTTATTGCAAGTGATTGAAGGATGAATTTCAAATGCATGAAACACTCAGCACTATCAAAATGCAGTGCTTTGAAAGGAGCAAATAGATTCTTAAGGAGTTAAACTCAAAATTTCTCATATTTTACTGGTAGAAACACTACTATACACTTTATATTATATACACTCCTGCTCTCTGCATTGAAAAGAATCATTTCCACAAGTACACATTTATGGCCTGACTGTCAGAAGAAAAGTCACCTTTGAATCCAGAAATGTTCAGTCTGTTTGGCAAAGGTATTGTCAAGCTGTAAGCAGCTGGAAACAAGGACTCTGAATAGAAATGCCATAAGAACATCAGCTCCAGAGGCACTTGTCACACTGCTCAGCTCAGTACTCTCTGAGCCTCCAATTCACTTGAAGAACGTTGGTTACGTGCTATGAAATCAATACTATGTGCTTTAATAAAGCAAGCACCTTGTAATCAAACTAAATCTTGTTGTAAGGTAGCCTGCACTGGGACTTGGCAGAAACTCAAGACTTGTCATAATGCACAGGAGTACCTCAGGAGTATACATTTGGGCTTTAAAAGATCATTCACAAGTCAAAACAGCTTCATTTCAAACAAATGTAACCCCCAGGCTAGGTTTTAAGAGTCTGAATGTTTAATAAACCTACCAGAAAATGCCATCTGCAATGCTGAAAAATTCAATACACTTCCTGGAGATGATTACTAAATGGTCTGAGATTTTTCAGGCAAAGTTCTGCATTTTCCTAACATTCATACTGTGAGTTAGTGAGCCAGCAGTGTTACCAGGCTGTAAGCATTCTCCAGTTGTGCTGCCAGGTTTGCCCTACCTGGGTGACATGATGTTGACAATGCTCGCCTGCATATCTGACTTTTTTCCCCTTCCCTTCTGTACTTTTCAACAAGCTAACAGGAGGAGCATTCAGTGCAAAAGATATTTCAAGCAAACAGAGTGTGAAGTTCCAAGCCAGCATTCTGTCATAAATGAGACGTTGGTTATTTACCCAAAGGATGCAGCTTCTTGATGCAACTGCAGTCAGAAGGCGACTGCTTACACAGGAGCACCAGCCCTAGGATTAGTGAGACAGTTCAATGTGCTGAATCACAAACCTCTCAGTTCCAGTGTGTCTGAAACTCTAATATTTTTAAGCATTTAGAAGCAGCTGCCAGTTTTGAGGCTGTAAAAGGGATAGTTTATGCTTCAACCTGAAGATTCTTGATGCAGCTATAATAGTAGAAAATCTATGGCAACTGGTCTATCAAGGACAACTTGATTTCTATCTCTGCTGGGAGCCCTTTCAAATCTCTGCCAGTCCTATAACCCAGCAAACATCCTGTTCATGTTCTGCACGCTCCTATCTTTCCTTTATACATTTCAGAACTGCTTGGTAATGTCTAACATAGCTGCATGCCCAGTGAGGTTTTTCTGGCCAGCCAAGGCCAGATTATGCACTAATTCAGATTATTATTATTAAAGTTAAAGAAATCACAGGATTATAAACGAGGACAGTCAAAGAAAGCTGTATTGCCTCAATCAATGCTCCCATGAAATGCAGCACTCAAAAAGGGAAAACTTCAAAACATACTATTCCAGCAGAGAAAGGCAAAGGAATTGCAATCAAATTCCTTAAGATTAATAAAGCACAAACTTCAGATCTCCCACAGCCATCTCCATTCGAGCCCCACAGTTTTTGTCAGCTAGCTTCAAATTCTCCAATACTTCTGCAATCTGCACACCTATACTTTAGAAAATACATGATGATTGTAACAATAATAAAATTACCCAATCAGCTGTTGTCAGCCAAGATGCAAGACAAACAGTTTTTATGGAAAGATTTTCATTTACGTCCAGGCACAGCTGAAATGTGATTAAGGCAGGTAAGAGGACATAAAACAGAATGTCTGCAGCCTTATGTCAGTTTTCACTGTTACACTTCCTTTATACACTCCTCTCATTTCTGATGGTTCTGCTTGAAGCTGCTGTATATTTATTATAACATCCAGCATATGCCTGCCTTCTACTCTCCACTCCAAAACCCAGCATTCACAGCTGTAATAATAATGATGTCAGTTGGAATGGCTGAGTAATTATAAATTACACTTTATTTTTATCCTTTTCCTATTGAACTGGATTAATGTATCAAGCAGAATTCTTTTTCTTAAACATGACATATGGTCAGTACTTGGTACACATTACATGCTATGTATCATCAGTTTTAATACTGAGTATTTTAAACATTAAATTCAGATTCTTAGCATAACAGATTGCCCTTTCATTATACACCATATGCACCACAGCTTTTTGTACAGTCAGGGCTCAGGAAACAGTAACATTTGGTCAGAAAATATCTCAAATTGGCTGATTTTGAAGCAATGCAGACAAAGACCATCCCTGATACTGGACAGGAAAGGGAACATGAAGAGCTATAAAATGTACACCTACACTATGCTTTACTTATGTGCTCATATCTACATGACAGCCCTTTTTTACTTCCAAGATGACTTAACACACGCACTGAACATCTTAGTTACACAGAAAAACAACAATATTATACTAACATGTGATGGGTCTCCTAGAGATGCAAAGCTTATTTCCAATATGAAAAGTAATCAGAAAACAAACCATCTTCCAAAATTCTCAGTTAGTTTTTTTTCTTTCTTTTTTACTATTCCGTTTAAAAACAACAAGCAGTAAAACACAAATTAATTCAATTTTATCACAAGGTAAATCTGCCAAAGTCAACCCATATGGCTCTTTCTGAGGTTAGATTGTTTATCCCTTCACCACCTGACTTCACTCAATGACCTTAAGTCAGCACAAACTCAGTGGACCAATGATAAATCAACAAGTATTGAGAAGACAATTTAGAGGGCTGAGCATAACTTATTTCGGATGGAAATCAGACAAGCCTCCTGACTACTTTGGGCTGTGCACAGAGAACGGTCTGCAGATCCTGCAGACTTTATAATATTAACTACCTTGAGATTTTAATAAATCATAGCAGCTGTTGCTAGTATGATTCAAGATCTAGGGAAACTTCACCTCACTCCAAGATTTCTGGGAAAATAGATTCATTTTAATAATGTTTGGATGAAGTCAAAATAGAAAGGATGAAAATATGTTTCAGCATAAGGGTGGAGGAAACGGGAGGTTGGAGAGTCTTCAGAGAGATGTCTGTGCTGAAAAACTAGGATCTCAACACATGCTGAAGTTTTGAGCTCTCCAAAAAGATCAGCCGAGCTTGGAATAAGAAATAGAATAGATAGAATTTTGGATCCTCCCTGAAGTTTAAACGTAAAACTATTCCCCCAGAGGTTGAGGAACTTGATCTGACTGCATTAAGTTCAGAATAACATATGCAAAGGAAAAGCACCTGTTCCTAAAGAGTTTATCCCCAGTGCCTCTTCAGTTCTGCTGTAATTTCTTCACCCACTTTGCTTGCACGTCCTTTTCCAACACACATGTTCTCTAAGACAGCTTTTCTGCAGACTAGGGCATGCTTGCTAAGACTGAGTTAAAGGATTGGCCGGAGCTTTTCCAGCCACTGGTTGGCTCTGAGGTCGCTTGTTGGCCTCTCAGAGTGTGGGTTAAGCTGAATTTAACAATATATACCATATATAATACGTGGAGAAAAGCGTGGAGAGAAGGCGGCTGCAGCACAACCTCATTGCAGCCTTTCAGTACCCAAAGGGGGTCTATAAACAGGAGGGGAACTCTTTGAAAGGGTAGACAACAGCAGGACAAGGAGAAATGGTTTTAAGTTGAGGGAGGGAAGATATAGGTTGGATGTCAGGGGCAAGTTCTTCACTATGAGAATGGTGAGGTGCTGCAACAGGCTGCCCAGAGATGTTGTGGATGCCTCGTCTCTAGAGGTGTTTCAGGCCACATTGGATGGGGCCTTGGGCAGCCTGGTCTAGTATTAAATGTGGAGGTTGGTGGCCCTGAATGTGGCAGGGGAGTTGGAGATTCACCGTCCTTGAGGTCCCTTCCAACCCTGGCCACTCTGTGAAAGCAGCTGACATTATTCTTAACTTCTGAATTTCAGATTTCTTAGAGGACATCACATGCTTTGTGGTTTGACCTTTTGTGGCAAGCATTCACCTTTCCTCTTGTAGGCTGTTTCTAGCAACAAATGACCTCTAGCATCTTTGACTCATTTTAAGTTTGGAAGTAATTATCTCCAATTGAAAGAGCATTTATATAAGATGGCTGTACTGGTATAAAAATCTATGTAACCAAAGGTTTTACATAGACCATTTCATTAATGGCCATCTAAAGAACAGCACTGGACATTCCAGTATCACACCAGGAAAACAAAGAGTTGTAATATCAGCTGATCAAACAAATGAAAGAAGTTTAAAATCAGCTATCCTCACCTTAAAAATTGTAGGCTTCTAAAAATGCTAATGGCACTGACATACAGAATTGCAGATATAAAATACAAATCTTAAAATCTTTTTTTATACATCCACATTCGCATGAAAATACAAAACAGTTATAAATAAAATTAAAGCATAAGAACACCAGACACGAGCATATATACATTTCAGTTATAAATGCTGTAAACACCATTATTAAAATATGATATACCAACCATCGCTGACGCTAGGCACCCAGGAAAGCATAAGATAAAAGAGATAAGGAAAAAACATATTTCAATTTGTATTTTACACTACTGATTCATACAACCTACACAAACAACTTATATATGGCAACTAAATTTAACACTGATCTCAAATGATAGAAGAATGTCATAGAAAAGTAACTTCCCATAGCTTTTGCTTTGTCCAAGTCAAAAGTGAATTTTTTTCCACATCCTGTCAGTTATGCACTTGACTTAACTGAATTAAACGTGAACAACTTTTTCATCAACACAAAAGTCTACTAATGCATTTTCAGTCAAGGTAAGCTAGGTTCTCTGTGATACACATTCACAGATCAAACAAAAAAGAATAAGACGTATGCACACAACACAGCAGACTACTTAACTAATACAATATTATTTGCAACATAACATAGCAATACATAAAGATTAGTTTGTTTTTTCTTGTGTCAACAGAGTAGAAATTGATGCTGAGTTCTCCATTTCATGACTCATCAAAAACCTTTGATAAAGATTTCTACCGATCCATTTCTTGATGCTTCATAACATGACAGCACATAGAAGTCATAGCCTAAGAATATAAAATTTGTACTCAACACTATTCATAGTAAGAATTGCTAGTGTTTGATATTTACCTTTACACAGCACAGTATTCATAGATACTGTAGTTCACCTAGAACTGCCTATACTTAATGGAAACACAGATCTCTGTCAATGTGAAGTTCCTATGATTGTCTTGGTTGTTTTGTTTTTGTTTTCTACCAAAGGCCTTGATTATGAATTCACAAAACACAAGTAATTCCAATGTAAGCGGAAAGAAAGCAGCTTTGGCTTTTAGCTGCTATCTAAAATTACACGGGCCAGAGTGCAGACGATCAAGAATATACATTTCTTATTTCACAGCGAGAGGAATTTTCTCCAGTGGTGCCATCCACATGGAAAACTCCTCCACATATAAATTTAGATGTCTCAACGAACAGGAATTTGAAAATTTTGCTTAGGAAAATTAAACAGTAGTTAATTGTATTGAAGCCATTTAAAAATGTCTCTGCTGTTCTCTAGGCAGAAGGGAGGAAATCAGTGAGCCTGAGAACTTGCTCTCGTACTTCGTGGGCTCTCAAGACACAAGAGGTCTGGAAGCCCTGGGAACACTTTCTGCTGAGGAGCCAGCATCCTAGAAATTCAAGTTCCCAGTGTTTTCAGCCTTCCGTTTGCTGGCAGGCTGCTGTGAAAAAAAACAGATAAGCAACCTGGCAAGGAAATGGCAGTTTGCAGTTTGAGACTTAGCCCACAGTTTGAAGGCTTTCTCCTAAAACTGCTTCAAATTGAAACCAACATCTAAACAGATAGCATAGAGTATTTCAGAATCAACAAACATTTCCTGATGAAAAAAGACCTCAGTTCTTGAATCAGTTCTCAGTAGTCTGTGGCCCAAAATGCAATAGGCAGGTGTGACTATAAAGGCAGCAGAAAATTTCTGAGGCATAACAAGGTCAGCATGTATGTAGGCCTCTAACAACAGCTCTTTTTTAAACTTGCTCAGTCCCCTCCCAGCAAAGAAAAGCAGTGTCTATTTTGCTTACCGTGCTGGTAGGCCTTAAATAATTTCAGGTGTCTGTCTGTGTTATTACCATGCAATAACATCTGTGGAGATCTTCAGGCTGATAAATTCTAATTCCCCATGAGTACAAAAATATTGGTTGTCTTCCTTTTACATATTTTTTCCCTCTCCTCTATCTATCTATGAGTGTACAGTCTGGAATTTGTTTTAAAATCACCGTAAAAATGTATTGCAATAATATTCACACATCCAGAGAAAACTGCATAATTGATAACTCAATGGTTACCTGCATCTCGTCTAGCTTGGACTGAATGTCTGGAGGGAAATCTCCTGCTCCGCAGCTAAAAGGGTCAAAAGGTTCTGCCCCAAAAAGGTCTCTCTCTGGAAAAAGAGAAAAATGAGTCACTGAGGGAAACGGAATGAGCTATGACCTGCTCTTTGAAAAACTCAGCTTACATCTTACAAGCTGAATAACAGCACCTTCAGATAGGAAAATGATTAACTGCAGTTTTTAAACATCCAAATTCAAAAGTCAGGTCTTGATTAGTTTTCCAAGACTGGATACTCAACAATTTTTTTCCAATAATGCAGCAACTTCTGTTTAAGCCTTCATGGACCTTTCATTAAATGGCTGTGCATTCTAGAGGAATTTTAGGGACCTGAGCAGAAGAAATTCCAGTCTGAGTAAGGGAGCTTCCACTGAAGTGCCTTCGGAAATCAGAGAGTTTGAATATTTCATAATTGAAGAGGGAACAGCTGGATGTCAACTGCCAAATTTCATTATGTCAGAAGCAAATTCTCACTAACAAATTAGCCTTCATACCTCTTCATATCTGCCACTTCTGACCATCAGGTTAAGGGCTTTTGTAAATTATCTTTACTCATGGAATTTCAGTTCTGCATTTGATAGAGTTTCTCAGTGCGCTGCTAGCAGTAAATAGAACTAATTACTAGAGTTGTAATTCTCAACCAAAGAACAGGTTGAAAAAAAAGAAACAAGGAAGAACAAGGAAGAATAAAAGAAAACACAGAAGACCATGACATGCAGCTTGCCCTAAAATTCCACTAAAATTGGATCCATAAATGCAATGACTGCACTTTTTTCCTGTCATGTCATACGGTTTCTCACTTCAAAAAGCAGGATCCTTTTCACTGCTGAGGTGTTTTTTCTTTTCTTTTTTTTTTTTGTTTTTGCATTTATGTGTTTCTTTTTGGAAACACCTCCAATCATA